TAGTGAGAAAACAGATTATACTAAAAACTGAAACATTTAGAGGTGGAAATAGATGCATGTTATTTAGAGACATGGAATTAAATATCAAAAAAATCAACTGAAAGAGGTCAAAGTGATTGTTTTTGGGGAGAGGATATCAGGAGGAAAAGGTGAAGTGGAAATTTCTATTTTCATGAAATTTGACACTTCAATTTATGTACATGTGCAACCTAGATACACATAAAATCAAAAACAAAAGAATAAAAAAAGACAGGAATAACATATATTAACGTGTCGTTTTGATCATGGTTGTCTCTGAATTTTGGATCATGGGTATTTCTTTTTTTTATTTGTTATTTTTTAATATTTTTTTTCCTGGCAATGATATATGGTGAGAAACGAGAAAAAAATGTGGTATTTTTTAAAGGGAGAAAGGAAAAAGGTATGTCCACTGGCAGCCTGGAAACTAGTGTTTCCATTTGTCACCAGGTCTCAGAATGGGGACAGTGAGAAGGATACAAAGAGGAAGGTGGGGGTGGGGTGAGGAGGAAGAATTGACAGAGCTTGGTGACTCAGAATAGGGAGGTGAAGCAGTATCAACGATAGAAATATCAAATAACCATGGCCTTGACTTCCTGTTTTTAAATAAATATGACAAACTGGCACATTTCGAGTTTACGAAAGATGACTGGCAGTTGTTAAGTGTTCCTCATGACAGGGAGCGTGTCAAAGGGCTTTACTTAACATTTTCTGCTTCTGCTCTTACTCACTTGCCATTTACTTTACCCGCAGCTCAAGCAGTCCTTTATAAGCATTCATCGGATCATGTTACTCTCTTGCTCAAATGCGTTTTGCGGCCTCCCATTTTGCTCTGAACAAAACCCAAACTGCTCGGTCTAGTTCCTGCCTTTGCAGGGGTCTCTGGTTGTCTCTCGTACCTTTCGCACTGTACCCCAATCACTGGGCTGCAGCTCTGCTCACTTATCTGCTCTTTGAACGGGTCAAGCTTGCCCCCACCTCAGGACTCTTTTTCCTCCTACATTTCAGTCAATAATTTAATTGAGCGTATCTTTACGTGGATCTGTGGATGCTTAGAAGTCATCAATATGAGCATTGTGCCCTTGGCCTCCTGGCACGTCACTGTCACATCACTGTCACGTCACTGGCACGTTAATGCTCATCAATATGAGCACTGTGCCCTTGGTCTCCTGGCACGTCACTGTTGGACGGTAAATAGAGTCATGTCGCATGCCAAGCATCCAGGGAGGCACCATGTACCAGCCTATGATGAGGAAAGGACTCAGGGCACTGACAGCAGTATTTAGGTGTGTCTGTTGTTTTTCATAAATAAGTTCTTCCTGGACACTTACACCTGGAGAGGGCCTAGGAGTGCCATTGCATAGGAATGCAAGGTAAGCCACAGATGCCATTTTAAACGTTCTTTTTTACTTACAGGTAGCACTTTACAGCTTCTCTTTGGAATATTCGAACTGTCAACATCATTACTCTTGAGAATCAATAGCCAGATGAAGAGATACGTAAGAGCGAGGTCCCAAACCAAGGGGCTGTGTCCTCATAGAGCTTGGGCCTGGTACAGTGGCACGTGGAAGCAGTTAGTCCCTCAACGTGGAAGCTCTCCAAAAATGGCCCCACCTCAGGACCTTTGTATATACTGATCCTTCATCTACCTTCTTCTAGATATTTATATTGCTGCCTCCTGGTCATTATTTCTATCCCGTCACAAATGTCGCTTCCTCAGAGGGGCCGTCAGGAACCACCACTCTGCACACTTGTCCCAACCAGTTACTAGCTCTTCCAACATTTTCCTTTCTTGTCCTCATGGTACGTGTCACCATGTGAAAGTGTCCCGTTTTTTTCCCCTCTTTTAAAAATGTTTTAAAAATTATTACCGACATGTAATTCATTTAACAAACTGCATTGTTTAAAAGTGTGCAATTCAGTGGCTTTTAGTATATTTATTATGTTGTCCAACCATCACCACTATTTGAGTTCCAAACATTTCCATCACCCCAACCAGAACCGCCGTATCTGTTGACAGTCATTCTCTCCTCCCCCATGCCCTGGCAATCCCTAATCTACCTTTTGTCTCTGTGGATTTGTCTATTCTGAACATTTCATATAAAAGGAATTATATATGTACCATTTCGTGTCTGGCTTCTTTCAGTTAGCATAATATTCTGTTTCTTTTGAAAATTTACTTCCTTATTATCTGTCATCCTCTTTGGACTCTCAGGAGCTCTACTAACTATAATAGTGTACAGCATAATTCATTAAATATGGATTAAGCACCTTTTGTATGCTATGTACACAGTAGCACAAAAAAACTCTCTCCAAGGAAACTTTCAACCTCCATGTTCTCCTCAGTAATCTTCAGGTCTCCCTTTGCACACCCCCAAGGTGGGTGATGAGCTAAGGGTTAGTGGGCTGGTTGGGGAAGTCCCCCCTTTCCTGGCCCAGCAAACATGATCCAGCTCTTTCATGCCAGCACAGGGGCCCTAACCCAAATTGAAACAAAAGAAAAGTCCCATTGAGCACCTGTTTCTAAGGGGTTTCCCTGTTGCTTTGGCTTTTATTCAAGATAAATCTGTAAGACAGTTAAGATAATGGCCTTAAATAAAAAGTGAAAGGGGCCACGACAAGGAACGCAGGAGGCCTCTAGTCGCAGAGAGAATATAGCCTCTACCACCAGCAGCAAGTAAATCGGGACCTTAGTCCTACAACGGTAAGAAACTGAATTCTGCCAACAGACCGAATGATCCTGGAAGTGGATTCTTCCCAGAGCCTCCAGCTGAAGACACAGACAGACTGCCATCTCGTCTCCAGCCTGTGAGACCCTGAGCGCAGAACCCAGTGGGGCCTGCATGGACTTAGGACCTAAGAACTCTGAGCTGGAAGTGGTTTAAAAGGAGAAAAAAATGATGTTCGCTTTGCTGCCTTCAGTTCTCAGCCAAAGGCAGGCTCGCTTTGAAGCCCCAGGGCTGGCTGGTTTACTTGGGCCAAGGCGTGAAAGAAAAAGAGTTAAGAAATTAGACACTGCAGCCAAATTTACAGAGTTTGAATCCCAGCACTGCCACTTACTACCCCTGTCATCCTGGGCACATTACCCTCCCTGTGCCTCAGTTCCCTTGGTATGTATTTCAGAGTATTATTTTTTGGATTAAATGAACTAATATTCCTGAAGTTTTAGAATCCTGACAGGCACCTGATAAATACTTTACAGATGTTTGTCAAATAAAAGGAACTCCCCCAGATGATATATTTGTGCATAGTGGGGTGACTGATTCCAAGTGGTGCTGAGCCCTTTTATTGATTTTCCTGGGTTAGAAATACTAGTTGTGGTGGCCTCTAGCCAGTTTTCCTACCTCATTTAAAGACCAAAGGGGAAATTCTTCTCTGTTTCTGAATAGGAGAAAATTAGAAAAATCTCAATTATCCATTAACAGAAGAGTAGCTGCAGACACTGAAAAATGATGACTCATATCTATGAATATTAACTCAGGAGCGGGCCTATGCTCGGCCTTGGCAATGTGCTGTAGTGGTTAAGGTCATGGGCCTTGAAGCCAGACTACCTGTGTCTGAATCCTGGCTTGGCCACCTATAGCTGTGTGACCTTGGCTGCATTACTTAATCTATCTTTGTCTCAACTTCTGCATCTATAAAATGAGGTTAATAATAGTGCTTATTACACAGAACAATTATTAGGATAAAATGAATTAATACACAGAGGGCGACTAGCATATGCACTATAAGTACTCAATAAACTTTAGCTATTACTGTTGAATAAAAAAAAAATAGCCCAAACATACTTTAGGGTTTAAATACATGATCATGCATTGAAAAATCTATGAGATAATTTATAAAATGCTCTAAAATTATGACTTTTTCACTTTCTCCTTCATGCTTTTCTGTATTGTCTGAAGAAAATAATAATATTAAGCCAATACTACTTTTGTAATCAGAAAAAATTTACTTAATTCCATTTGGGAGTGGTAGCTTAATAAACAACTCTGTCTTCAATGAATAATTGTTTGCCTGTCTTTACCTTTGTGTGTTTGATGACTGTTTTTGCCTGGGAAATTCTTGCTAGAGCACTAAGTCATCCATGTTTGCTCAAATCCTTTCCCTGTGAATCAGGAGAAGAGCCTGTTAAAGGCTGGGTGGGTTCTCCTTCCTCCTGCCCTACTCCGTGTTGCAGGAAAGGAGGTACCAACACACCCATTCCTTGGTTCTTCATTTGGCTGTTTATTTCACCTTCAGTCATTCAACAGGGTTTGAGAAAACAAAAATGGCCCATTCAATAGAATTCCATGCATTCATCTCAGAAATGGAGGCAGATTCACATCTATTATCCTGGAAAGATGTTTGTGATTGCATTGTTCAGTTAAACCAATCAACTACAGAACAGTATTTATTCAAGAAATGGGTATTGCAAACACTCAGCCATTTTCTTAAAGGAACTAGGACATAGCAATAGGAAGCAGAGAAAAACCCCAAAAGCTTATATTCTAGAAGAAGAGACAGACAATGCACAATAAAACAAAATAAATTAATTTAAATAATGAAAAATGTTAAGATGTAAGAGATGGGACAGAGGCAAAGATACATAGATGGGGTGGCCATAGAAGGCCTCTCTGAGGAGGTGGCGTTTGAACCGAAGATGTACAGTGTGATTGCAGTTTCATAAAAATATACCACTCTGTGTGTGTATAGGTCTGTTTATTATAACCATAGAGAAAAAGTCTGGAGGGATACTCACCAGACTGTTTGTACTTTTAACTATAGAAACTTCTTGAGTTCTACTCTATGCATTGACCTGGGCAAAATTCTCGGGTCATCAAGCTGATTTGGGCAGGCATGGTCCTGCCCTCAGAAGGCTACCTCCTTTTCTGATTCCCTACTTCAGTCGGGCTAGGCTTGACTCTGAACTCATCATTACAAGCAACAAGAAACTCAAACTCGTCTAAAGGAGAATCAGGTCATGTAAGGAAAAGTCCAGTGGTATCCCTGGTTCAGGCATGGCTGGATCCAGGAGCTCTACAGTGTTAGCAGGCCTCTGCCTCTCTCCTATTTCTGCATTCCCTTCTGTTGGCTTCACTCTCAGGCAGTCTCTTCTCAAGGTGACTAAGATGATCTCCAGCTCAGCAAAGTTCTAGAACTGCCTGTCGTTGGTCCAGTTTGGATCGCATGCTTTCTATGAATCAAATGCATTGGCCAGAGGGATATAGAAATTCAGACGAGGCTCATGCGTCTACTACCAGAGACAGAAGGGAGAGTCTTCCACACTTAAGTCATATCTACTGAGGAGGGGAAGAGGCCACCAAGCTGCTACTGGAAGGTCAAAAACAGGAAAAAGCATGATCAGCACTCATTGAATATTAACTGTTTGCCACAGGATATGAACAATTACTTCCATTTTACAGAGTAGAATGGAAGGTCAGAAACTTTTGTAAGGCCAAACAGCAATGTAGTAGAGAAACTTATTTGAAGTTTGTCTGATGCTAAAGCCCCCAAATAATGATAATGATGTTGATAATTATAGTAATAAGAACTACTATTTGTTGAGCCCCTACTATGTGTTAAACTTTGCAAGCGTGATCTCATTTCATCCCCCGTGCAATACTTCAAGGCAGGTTTACAGTATAGTTGACTCCTTAACATCCGTTCCAGCCCAGCCATTGGCCTGGGACTCAATTAGTCTAAGCCAGTCATGAGAATTGCATCCCCTTTGCCAGAGATTGGTTCAAGAATGGGCATGTGACACAAATCTGGCCAGTGAGAAATGAGGAAACTTTTGCCAGGAAAGTTCTTCCTTACTCTTTCAGGAGAGGGTCTGGAAGTGACCCTATTTTCCTACCTGACATAAAAGAAGATGCTTGTAGCCCTGATAGCTCCTAGCAGTCATCCTATGATCACGAGGAGAACAGCCTCAGGAATGAAACTAACACCATGGACAGCAGAACAGAGACGGAAAGAATCTGGGTCCTGGATATCATTATTAGGCTGCTAGATCTACCACCATCCCGTGAGGGGAGGCAGGTTAGCCTGTTCCAGTTAAGCCAGTTTGAAATTTATTATCTTCTTCCTTCTAGCCAAAGGCATTCTAATGGACTCATTATGAATTTTCTAAATTTTTATTTCACAGATGGGGAAACTGAGGTTCAGAGAGATCAAGCGAATTGCTTCAGGTCAGACAGTGAGCAGGACTTTCATCCAGGGTTTGTTTCTTTCCAGACTCATCACACCATCCAGTTCCCACACAGTAGTAACCTTCCTTCTGCTAGATACTTTTTAAGCACCGCAACATTGAATCCTTATAACTACCCTGCAAAGTAAGTGCTTTTACCATGTTCACTTTGCAGATCACAAATATCCATAGTAGAGGGAGGCTGTTTAGCAGAGAGGCTTTGGATCTGAGGATTGCTTTCAGGTTTAAGTGGTCAGGCAGCAGGGGATGGGGATGGTGGTGGTGGTGGTGAGGGTGAGGATTAAGGAGTTCCTGGAGGTTGCAAAATACCAGAATCTTATTTCAACCCTGCTGAAGTGTTGAGCCAGGAGGATCGGGAAATAGAACCCCAGAAACTCATTCGTCCCTTCAGGATTGGCTCTTAATTAATTTTAAATATGAGTAAAAACATTCATGAAGAAATACATCACCATTTTAGAACAAATTGGAAATATAGGACAAATTGGAAGTAATAAGATAACATGATTCAAAAATCTTACCAATGCTCCATCTGTATCATTATTGGCAATGATGCTCAATCTCTTCATGCCTCTGTTTCCTCTAAACAAGCCTCTCTGAGGAGGTGGTATTTGAGCTGAGACCTGAAAGATAAGATGGAATTGCCATGGGAAGTGTGTTCCAGGCAGAGGGAACAGCACATGCAAAGGTCCTGGGCTGGGAGTGAACTAGGCTGACTGAAGGGACAGGAAGACATCCAGTGGGTTCATGAAAAACAAAGGAGGGAGGAATTGCAGGAGGTGAGATCAGGGAGATGGACTAGAGTTGGATTTCCACAGAGAGGGAAATGGGTTTGGGTCCAGGGAGCTGCCCATGCGCCCTGCACACAGGTGATGGGCCAGTAATATCAGCAGGTTTAAATTAGCATCGGGCTTCTGGGAGGGAGGCTGTGTGACATTGA